CTCTGTGTGGCTGCTCTTGAGCCGCCAGGAAGACGTTCCCGCCCACACGGCCAGGAGGGGAGGCGGAAGGACCGACAGCGATGGCTGCGGGGAAGAGCCTGGGGCTCGGCAACGGGAAGGGGACCCAGCGGCAGCCCTGTCCACTGCCCAGAGCTGTGACGTCCTCACCCACGACGCCCGCGCCGGGCACCATGTGGCTGACCACTCCCAGTCGCAGTGCAGGGAGGGGAGGGTGCTGCCCAGGCTCACGTGGCCGGCACGTGGCGGGCTGGGAACTGGCACCAGCGCCTCTGCTCTGGCCAGGCCCCCGATCGCCCTCCACGGAGCTCAGCCTAGCCCGGCTTACCTCCTCCGAGGTCCTGGACTTCCATGTGGACCAGGTCAGGGTCGGCGTCCACCCCAGACACAGCCCTGGAAAAGAAGAGGCTCAGGCTGGGGTGGGGATCAGGTCCCTAAGCCCAGCACGGTGCCAGCACCAGTGTCCCGCACCCGTGCAGCTGCGTGGCCTCGCGGGACTAAGGACAGTTGTGCTCTGTGGGTCGGAGGCCGCGGTCTCCCCCATGTGCCTGGTACTCCTGGGAGGCGGCCGGGCTTCTGCCTGGGGGGCCTGAGCCGGCTCAGCGCTCTAGCCAGGCCTCTCTACAAAAGACTTTCACGGGAGTCCCGCGAGTTACGGGAATGACCCGAACGACCTTAGGAGGCCGGGGCAGGCCTGGGACAGCCCCCTGCTTGTGCTCAGAGGAGCAAAGCAGCTTCCCCAAGGGGCGCGGTGCCGAGGGCAGAGCCAGGCTTCCGGCCAGGGCCCTCTCCGTCACCCCAACACGCCCTGCCACGCCACCCATCACAGTCGCCCTGGGAAGGAGCCGCGGACGATGGTGGTCGAGGGGCTCGGACAGCGGCTGGGACAGCGGGGATCGGCTGCCCACAGAGCGCTGGAGGACGCCTGGCAGGAGGGGATGGGAGGGTCTTCCTGGGGCCACAGCTGTGCAGGCCACGTCCTCCAGGTGGCGGGGACCAGGCCAGCTGCTCCCGGGCTGAACCCGGAGCCCGCCCCGCACAGGGCCGGCTCCCAGGGGATGCAAGGCAGGTGTTCCCACTGGGAGGGGCCTGAGCGACGACCGGGTCAGGGGTCCAGTCCTCACTGTGTCCTGTGTCAACTAGACTGTCATCTACCCACTGCTCTCTAGGCTACACTGGCCCCTTAGAACCTCGGCCTCTCAGGAATGGCGTCCCTGCCAGTGTGGCTGTCACACCGGCCGGCCCTCCACGGACACCGAGCTACACAGCACAGCGACTCTGACCAAGGGCAAACAGCCAGGACGCGGAGGTCACTTCCCCGGTCACCCAGCACCCAGGACAGGCACGCTGTCCCCCCGGGGTGTGTCCCCACGGTGTCCAGCAGGCCACGGGCTGTCCCTGCAGAGCGGTCTCCAGCGACCCCTCCCCCATCACCAACATCCCGGCCAAGTCGGCCCCTCCCCGCTCTCAGCCACCCCCCAACAGCGGTGGCACCAGAATTCCCATCTGCATCACCTCCTCCAGGGAACGGGCGACCCTAGGTGGCCAGGGGACAGGAGAAACCGGTGAGTGTGTGTGCCACGGGCCGCGGACGCTCTGTGGCGAGCGGGCTGGGCGTCCCCACGGGGCACTCAGTCTAGGCCCCGGGCACCAGCACCAGCCACTCTGGCCCTGGGGGAGGGGTCTCGGTCAAGGCGATTCAGGCTCCTGTGAACGGAGCATCTGCCAGCTTGCGGAGGGGGGTCTCCCGGCTGACCTTCCTCCTCTTTTCTGAACAAAGACGGACATGGTCTCCTTTACCAGGATCGCTGGCCAGGGCCCTCAGCTGTGCGTTTGGAATTTTAGTCTGATAATCTGCCACCTGGAGAGTCGGGGTAATGACACCAGCCAACCGCTCACGCGCTCACTCACCCAGCCACTCCCTCCGCCCCCGCCCCCCCCAGGATGCACCTGCTGCCTCTCCCGTTCTCTACTCTCTCGCTCCCCCAGGGAAGCGTCTCCCACGTGCCCGCATCAGGCCTGGGCCGGCTAAGGGAGCGCAGTGGCCTGAGGCCTGGTCCCCAGAGGCCCTGGCTCACGGGACCATGAGAAGCTCTGCCCTTAGGGCGCCTCCAGTAGAGGCTGGCTCCCCGCGGGAAACACCAGTGCCGACCCCTGTGCCTTCCTGTCCCGCAAGGTCCCCAAAGACAGCATCTGGAGAAGGTCGGGCCCGGCCCCCGTCGCATGCGCTGGCCCTCAGCTCGAGCCCCGAGCTCTGGGCGGTGAGGAGCAGACCGCTGCTCTGGGGCGTGCCAGGGCCACACCGAGCCCGCGGTGGGTGGCCTCCCGCCCACCCCTCCCCATCTCCCACGGGCCCACACCGGGCAGCGCTGCAGCTGCAGGGAGAGGAAGGCGGAGGTTCTCCTGGGGAAGTGACAGGGGGACACCTGGGGACGTGCAGGCGGCCAGACCGAACTGGCAGAGTGGCCAGCGGCATGGTCACGGGCCACGCGCAGGCGCGGCCACAGCTCGTGCTGCTGCTTCTGGGCCTAGCCTCTCTGAGCCTGTTTCCCCTTCTGCAGCGTGTGGGGAGATGATCAGGGGCTGCCGTGTGGCTTCCACAGACGGGGCACTCAGCCCCTCACCGGCGCCTGGCAGGCGGACAGCAACCGTGATGAGCAGCCACGACTCTGATTTCGTGCCAGCCGCCGGAACGCTAGCCGGAGGGCGACGGCCAAGTGCCCGTGGGGGCCTGGAACTCAGTAGGTCCCCACCGCAGGGATGCCTCCTGAGGCCCGCAAGGGCACCCCAAGGTGCTCGCTGGCTGGTCAGCTCCTCACAAAAGACATGTCCCAGCGTCACACACAACACAGGCCATGGGCAGTTCCTGCTGCCAGCCCAGGGACAGAGCACCTTAAAGATGCTGTCAAACCAGCATCGTTCAGCACCACAGCGGGCCCACCATGGCTGTCATATTCCAGGAGAGGCCAGGCCCAGCGGCCAGCGCCCGACGTGATGCTCTCACACCCAGCAGCTGGGGGTGACCTGAGGAGCTGGGGGAGGGAGGGTTTGACTTGCCTGAGTTGGCAGCGTGTTTGAATTAGTGCCGATTTCCCTTTCGGTACCTGCGGGGGGTTCTGTGGCCGGAGGGGCCTCCCGTGAGCCCACCCTGGGCCAGGGCTGGGCCTGGACCCACCGAGGCCGAGCTCGCAGCTCCACTATATCCCCATCCACCCGGCTCAGAAACCCCACCTCCTGTGAGCCCTCGGGACCAGCGGTTGACATCGGTGATGAGCTGGTGACCGATGCAGCATTCCAGTTTCCGAGGAAGGAACCGGCCCTCCCGTGGGTGGCCATGTGGGGGCCATCACTCCTCCCCCGGGAAAGGCCCGCACAGCAGGAGCCAGTATTCCAGGGAGACAAAGGCTCCCTTCAGCCTCGTGGCCATAGTCAGGTACCGCACCCCGACCACACTGAGCACCAACACGGCCATGAGCGAGGGCGGGGCGGGGAGCGGTTTCCATGGTGCCCCCCGCTGCAGGGGCCCATGCACAGCGAGCTGCACAAATGAGGTGTGTGTGTGCACGTGACCATGTGTGCATGTGTGCATGTATGAACGTGTGTGAGCGCGCGTGTGCATGCGTGAATGTGTGTGTGAGTGTGAGAGCGTGTGCATGTGTGTGAGCGTGTGTGCATGTGTATATGTGTGCGTGCATGTGAACGTATGTGCGCACGTATGTGAGTGTGTGTATGTGTGAGCGTGTGTGCGTGTGAGCATGTGTGTGCGTGCATGTATGAATGTGTGCGAGCGCGTGTGCATGTGTAAAAGTGTGTGCATGTGTGTGCATGAGTGTGCAAGTGTGTGTGCATGTGTATGTGTGTACGTGTGTGTGAGCGTGTGTGCGTGCATGTGTGAGTGTGCGTGAGAGCGAGTCACTCGGTAGGAAGGAGAAAGAGCAGCTGCACGCATCGCCAAAGGCGGTTGAGCAGACAGGCGGCGTGGGCTCCGAGCCGGCACTCACTTCCGGTCCCTGCCCGTCCCCCACCCCGGCAAGCGCCTGTCCTTCTGGACCTCGCCCCTCCTCCCACGTGTCCTCGCTGGTGTGGTGAGACTACACAGTGGCTCCAAGAGCTGGCCGATCGGCGCCCACAAGAACACAGCGAGGGGCCAGCAGTGTCTGCCACCAGTGCCATGTGCACGCGGGGCCGAGGGACACCAGGGCCCCGGCAGAGCAGAAAGACCCTCTGGAGGGCCCTCTGGGCGAGGAGGGCAGGGCCGGCGCAGATGGGGGTGGGGGGACCAGTGAGGGGGGCTGTGGGGCTGTGTCCCCTCCCCCGCTCCCTCTTACCAGAACACGTGGTCTTTGGTCACTCGCTCCTGCAGAAGTGTCCATTTCTTCCCCAGGTCAGACGACACGTAGAGCTTTAGGGCAGAAAGAAGAGAAAGGAATTCTGGGTCATGGCGTGAAGAACGAGCCTCTTCCTGGTGACCGTGACCTCCACACCACGGTGAGGCCGGCCTGTCCCGCCCTGGCTGAGGACCCGCTGGTGGCAGGCCCTGCGCTCACATAGGGCACAGCCTAGCCCCCAAGAGGCCGCAGGTCACGTGTGGGGCTCCACAAGGAGCCATTCCTGCCCTAGACCAGCCGGGAGGAGCCCAGAAATGGGCTGTCCGGGGGGAAGGCCAGGGCACTCTCCACTTGGATTCCCACTGCTCGTGGGCACACGGCCTGCCTTCCCACCTGTCACCAAGCCGGGGCCCACGGCTG